GAGACCATTTGGGCGAGGAATAACATTCTTTTCCCACAACTGTTTGAGAATAGCCCATGCAATGATAATATCTTTACCAGGTAAAGAAGATCCTAGTAGCTTGTGACAAATACCAAGTTCAGGAAAAAACTGGATTATGACAGGCTTGCTGATTACTTCAGTTGAAAAATTGTCTCCATTTGCTGCTTGGAAAATTTGCCGATGATTCTTCCACATGTGATCAAGAAGAATACCAGGATCGAGAATTGAGGATGATGCACAAGTGTCAAACAGTGCGGCAACTGTTATGGGCCTTTCATATTTTCTTGTAAAGAGTTTTACTTCGATCATTGGCACCGAAATAGATAAAATGGTTGGATTAACAATTTGCATGCCATAACATTCTTCTACATCATCAGATTCATTAGAAAGGCTTTCATCAGAATCATATTTCCCGTGTTTGTTCATCTTCTTCAGGAAACAAAGATTCAAGATCAATATCACCATAGTCAATTTTTGTGGCCGTGAAAATTTGGTGAAGAATTTTCTCCTTCTTTTTGTTGGGACAGGTTTTTGCAAAGTGATCTTTCTTTCCACGGTTGATAAAACATTTGTTTCCTTTCTTCTTTGAGAATTTGCACCGGAAAATTCTTTTCTTTCTTCGAAAAGGATTAAGAGGAACTTCTCTACTAGAAAAATTCATTCTCCTTTTATGAAATTTTTTCTTTCCCCTACAATCGCAATCTTTCATAGAATGGCTGCACTTAATTTACAAACAATGCTTATCACAAGCCTTCTCCAATTTTTTTACCTGTGGCATTGATATCTTTGAGGAAAGCGTATTAATTACAAAGCTTCTTTGGTGTCTTCATGATCCAGTTTTGGAGTTCACCAAAAGATGTAGCATTTAAAGACTGTCCTCNGGTGTCTTCATGATCCAGTTATGGAATTCACCAAAAGATGTAGCATTTAAAGAGTGTCCTCTCATTTCCATTGGCCTTAATGTTTCTTAACCAAGAGGTGGAGGTATTGATTCTAGATAAGCTTGTTTGATGTTGGTATCATCCATGCCACCGATAAGATAATATCGTTGTGCAGCATTCCTGAAGTGCTTTTCAAGGTCTTTTGGATTGTATGAACAACACTTTAATTTGATTTTTTTCTCTGGCAATCTTTTTGTCATGATCAGATTTTCCACAAAAATCCCAATATAAGGAATTTATGATAGAATCTGTAGTATTTGCCTCCTGGGTAAATTGTAATTGNGCAGCATTTCTGAAGTATCTTTCAAGATCTTTTGGATTATATGAGCAACGCTTTAGCTTGAAAAATTCTTCTCTGGAAATCTCCTTGTCATGATCAGATTTGTCACAAAATTCCCAATATAAGGAATTTATATAAGAATCTGTGGTATTTGACTCCTGGGTAAATTGAAGTTGTTTGTATTCACCCATTGAATCATACTAATCTCTAAGAAATCTGTAATCCTTACCAAAAAAAGCTTTTATGACCTTTGTATGAGTCATGTTTGGCTTTTGAAATTCTGCAATACACCAGGCTTTCATTTCTTGTAGTCTGTATTTCCATTTGAAAAATAATAATTGTTAGTCACATGAGTTTCAATCATGTCTTCATCAAGTACTTCTGGTTCTTCAATAGTATGTTTACCTGGAGGCTGAGTTTGAGATTGACCTGTTTGTGCTTGATCAGCCATATATAAAGGAGGATTATCATTTGTAGATTCATTAGAGAATTCTTTAGATGATTCAACAGTCTCAGACTCAGAACTGGTGTCATTTGTTATAGAGTGAACAAGAAGGAAGTGATTAGTTTAGTTATGAGTTTATTGAAGGAAAGTAGAAATAAGATTTTTGATCATCATTTAAGGTTATTTTGAAGGATCTGGTGGTGAAAATTTTTAAGAAGAAGAGGATTGTGTTTGACGGACAGCAGTAGGTTTAATCTTTTTTGAGGGCATAAATGATTTTTTCTTTTGTTCACATTCTTCAGGAGTGAAAAGAGTAAAAGTAGATCCTGGGTAAGTTGAGGAATATAAGGTCCTAATTGTGAAGATTGTATGTTAGAGAAGGATGAAGGGTAATATGGTGTTGATGGTGGGATCATTGGATTTGACTCAAGAGAAGCAATTTGGATTTTCAGGTTTTCAATTTCTCTTTCTTGAGCATCAAATGGCAGTTGTTTTGTAGTCGGTTCAATATATCATTGTGTAAAATTTTGATTCTTTGTCTATGAGCTTGAAGAAGGGTGAGGAGAGTCCGAGTCTACTGTTGTAGAGTCCATTCAATTCTCAGTTGACTTTGGTCAATCTTTTTCAACAAAGCATTTTGTTGTACTATATTTTCTGAATGCCAGTTTAAGGTTGCTTCTACTGCTAAAAGAGGTTGCACCGATCCATTTAACCTCCTAGTGCTTAAATTCTTGATTTTCCAAGAATGAGTAGAATGATCCTTTTCAAAAGTTTCTAAAGGAGGAAACTCTTCATGGATAGGAGGATGAAACATCGCCATAGGAAAATGAGATGGGGGTGGATTATTATTCCAATCCCATTCATTATTATATCTGTTGCAATCATCATCCCATCCAGTAGGAATTATGGGATCATCATTTTTGCCTAATGGCTTTCCGAGTAATCCAACTTCTAGATCATTATCATAGAAAGCTTTATGNCAGACGGCTCGCCAAGTAATCCAACTTCTGGATCATTATCTTAGAAAGCTTTATGTAACTTTCTTTGACTGCTTCGCTTAGATTTCCTTTTTTGGTGAGGAGAATTATCATCAATATCTACTGCTAGACAACTGGGGTAAGAGCAAATATCCCAAAAATATGTCCTATATCATCTGTTCTGTTGTATACTGGCCTTCTATTCGCATCAAAAGCGTAAATAGGAATTTCTTCTCATACATATGCAAATTGTGTGGGAAAACAAGAGGGTCTTTTTGAGACAACATCCCTTTTGAAGGCGATCTCAGCATCTCCATTGGACATTTTCCTGAAAAAAGGTTCTGTGGATTGTATTGGAGTAGAATTTTTGTTTTCCTTGTGAGTTTGTTCATAGCTTGTGATCCATGTCTCAGGGATCAGTTTAAGCAACTCTGAGTGAGGAATTTGCCTGGGAACATAGGTACAATTGGGAACATGATCTGGCTCTACATAAAGAAGTAGTATATCGTCTGTTCCTTGAGATTGTACAAAGTCAAGGGAATGATTATGTATTCTGTACACCATCTGATAATGAAGAGTAGCTGCCTATGTAACAGAAGATGGTACAACTCCCAACGATTTGAACTTGGACTTTAAGGCAGTAAGTAACTGTGGATCAGATATGGCATATTGAAGTTCGGAAACATTTTGACTAAAGCAGTTCCAGTACTGAAAGTTGTTTCTACAGTTCCTATGCAAGCATACTGATATTCAGAGAAATGAGATTCTAACAGAGCAATTATTGAAACTGTAGGAAGACATTTTCTTCCATGGAGATTCAAAGAAAATCTAACAGCTCCAAAGTGGAGATGAGTATTATCCTTCAGATAACCAGACTCGTGGAAGATGAGAAGATAATTATAGTGTAACAAACTGTTCTTTTTCTATTGCGGTAGAAAATGTTGATCAAACTTTGAGGCTTGAACAAATTCTTTGGCTTGGGATTTTTGAGGAGAAATAAGGCTACAGACAGTTTTAGTAATAGACTGGCGAGGTTTTGTGTAAAGGAGATACAGATTTACAAGAGGTAAGTCTGTGAGTGGAACTTTCTTAGATTCAGGAAGATAGGATATCTCATAGAGATATTCCATTTTAGAAGCATCAAATTTTCTAAAGGAAGTAGTAGAAGAAGAAGATATAGAAGACGATTTAGGCAAAGAAAAAGGATTAGAGTTTTCTGAAGAAGACATAATTAAAAGATGTTCTTCCTTAATTTCTTTCAGCACATAGTAACATAAATAATCATGATATGAGTAAGAAAATAATATGGCTCTGATACCAAATGGGCTGAGTGACAGCAAACCTATAACAAATCACGATATTCTAGCCCATACAACACCTCAACAAGTTCAACAAAGGGCCTGACTTTTGGATTTGCTGTGAATCACTGCAACCCCGAACTAATCAAATAGTTAGTAGAGCACTTTCTTATGCAAAGGTTCACCATGAAGGTGCAACTGCAGAGCATACTTATCTTTCTACTCAGACCTTACTCCATATCACTCAAATCTATAATTACTATGTGCCTTCCGAAACTACNGGTGCAACTGCAGAGCATACTTATGTTTCTACTCAGACCTTACTCCATATCACTCAAATCTATAATTACTATGTACCTTCAGAAACTAAGTAGGAACTGGAAGGGTTTAGGAGAACATGTTATATAAAGCACACTGAATATTATTTTCTAAACTCTTGATAACTTCGAATGAATTACAAAGAGGTAGAGCTCTCCTTATATAGAGGAGAAAAACATCTAAAAGTACATACGAGACTCACGCATTTTCTGACATAATAAACACGAGTCATTATTTTAAAGATATAGTACAAACTTTCTGACTCACCTTATCACATAGTACAATAAAGCAATAAATTATTATACAAATGGACAAACAAACTTTAATAAAACAGTTATTGCTTTAATAAAGTAGATATAGTGATGTCTTTGTCTAGTCATGGTGTCGAGATTTATAGAGTCTTCTGGACATGATGACAGACCATGTTGATTTAATTAAGGTATATTAACATCTTGAGTTTAACTTGGCCATGAATCCACTGAGTCTTGGAAAATACTGTCACGTAAGCCAATTGTAATCCTTGGTGATTCGAGGCATCTGCAAACCCTCATAGAT